GAGCCCCACGCAGCCACGGCATCACTCATCTCGCGTCCCAAAGATAACAGGCACGGCCACGGCCGCGTCTTGCTCGCATCCAGGCAGGAGGGGACGTGAGCTGGCTCTCCTGCGGGAGTTGCCGAACCGCAGCAGCGTGAAAGCAGCGTACCCCGCGGGGTTCATCGCCAGCACAGCACAGAGCGTGCAGCTTCAGCAGGCTGGGGAAGCACACACCCCTGCCCTAAGCCTACCCTCCCAGCCTGTGCTTATGCAGCAGTTGCAAAGCCTGGTAATTTCTTCTCACTGCAAGCATTCGGTACAAACACACCTCTTTTCCACCTTCCCCCCCCCCACAGAGCAGCAAAACAGGGTGCTTCAAGTAGCTCACAAAAATATCTTCCTCCGACCAGCAGACTTATTTCTTTCTTAAGTTTCAATCAAAGCAATCTCTCACACCCTGGATTAGTATGTATTTTCATCCTGTCGGGTTTTACCTTTTGAAATACAAATGGTGGGAGTGTCATGTCAGCCTCTCATGACACTTGTAACCATCCTGTTTTCAGCTGGGTATCTCCCTATCTCACCTTTCCAGTTCAAGCCAGGCACAATTCCTATTGCTACGAGACGCTCATCCTTCTGCTATTTCAACACGACATCCTTACTAGCATTAATAGCACACTTGTTTCCCTGACAAATCTTAGGTCTCATCTTGCTTTCCTCCACCTCTGTTGGACCAGGCACCAGGCCAGCCCTAATAGCCTCAATGACAAATGAGGCAGAGCTGTTCTGACGTTCAGTTTAGGATAAAGAACAGCACGGGTACACAGAAAGCTACAGGACTAATGTTGACTCACGGCACAGAAACTGAGCAGGCAGGAAGAACAGCAGAGACGGTCACAAAAGAACAGAGTCACAAGAAGGCAAGGATTATTTACTGCCAGAGGTGGTTTTAGAGGAGGGGTTTTCTGTGTATTTATTTTATATTTTTAAGATCATATGATGTGAAATATTTGCATACAGTGAGATACAAGGTGGCAAGCTAACTCACCTCCCAGTGGACTGTACCAGAAATTAGGTGCAGTTTCTACGCTAATTTTCTTGTTTGCTTCGTGCAGAGTCAGCTGTTTCCATAGGTAGGCTGAGTTCCACCGGCTTACTTTGCCTGCAGATGAATAGCATTCAGCAAAACAGCTCAGGACAGGAACCTCTCCTAACAGTTATTTGCACACTACTGCCCATTATAGTATAGCTATACCCTTGCTCATCATTCAGTTCTTCCTTTTCTTTCCGTACCTATTCTAACAAGAGCTTATAGCACCAAGAGGGTCACAGGATTTATTAGCTTACCTTCACTTGGAAACTATTTGTCCAGAAATGAACTGGGAATATACAGCAGCAAAGGCACCAGTGCTGCAGAGAGGAGGCAGCCTGGGAAGTAGGCCACGGCCAAAATTTAACAGGAGCTCCATGACCCATGCCCATCAAGAGCAAGCACCGCCTGACTCATTGGCAAGGCAGGTTATGGGTTCATTAGTCACAACTGTGAGCTTCAGCTGACCCTCATCCATCCTCCAGACCTCGAGCCAGAGCCCATGGCTCTGCCCAGGCTTGTTTGCCCACCAGCTCTCTGCTTCCCAAGCTGCACAAAAGGGCACAAGCCAGAGCTTTGCCTGTGACTACTGGCCTTGGCATGCTTAGCCTTCCCTCAAGCCTGCTTCGCTCAGGAAAAACTTCAGTTGCCCTCCTTAAGACGCAGAACAAAAGAAAATTACAGCAATTGTTTCTTTTTAAAAAGAAAACATGTCTTTATTGGAATTATTATCACTCAGGGGAGTTTTCACAAGAGCACAGTGACTCCAAGAGCTGCCACCTCCCCAGGCCAGGCCCCCAACGCCACACTGGAGACCCATCAGGAGTGCAAGCCTCCTGCCTTTCTGACCATATTAATCCACCTCCTCGCCTGGATTCACAACTGCAATGCATTCAGGGGGCACCTCTAAAGTTACTTCATGCCATTTAAGCTCTCCAGACACCTTCCTGCAGCCCCCAGCCAAGGCAGGTATCAGCACCAGGCAGGGCAGGAGGCATGGAGCTGCTGGGACCACCCCACCACAGCAGCACCGCCACCTTTCCCCTCCTGTGACTCTGCAGCAGGAGGAGAAAGTGCCACACAAGCAGCCTCAGGGCTCCCTAGGTCTATAGAGATGCTCTTCTCAGTGAAGTCTTCAAAAGCAGGAGGGAAGGAAAGGCAACCAGCCTCGCTGAGCCTGAGGGGAACTCGAGGCCATTTGTTTCCCAGCTGTAAGCAAGGCTTTTATGGGAAGCGGAGGGATCCAAACTGCAGCCTCAGAACGAGGGAAATTCACATTAAAACCCCAGGGGAAAGTCAGAACACAATTCTGAGAGGTAAAGACAACAATAGAACTGGTCCATACTCCGAGACCTGCTGGTATGGAGCGGACGTTACACTGAGATCTGCCTAAATGTCCCTGTCACCACTGACAATGTGGGCATGCACTGGATTCTTGTTGGCCTCGCATTCAGCTTAATTGATCTGTAATAAATCAGTCCCAGAACAGAGAGCAGCCAGAGAGGACTCAGATCTATCATCTCTCACACAAAAAGTGCCTACTTAAAGAAAAACAATAATCCAAGACTAGATAAACACCTGCTTATGGAGTTTATCAGCACTACCCCAGTTCTGGATTCCTGTTTGCAAGGAACAGGGCCTTGTAAGCGCCAGAGTCAAACTCAGGGAGGTCACAGTGCTCTGAGATCAATATCTGCTCGAATGCAAGCATCTAAATAAAAAGAAATGTGTCAGTAAAAACAATGAGGTAAAACATAGCCTCACCCTCAATTTCCATCGCTTCACACAAACGACAACTCCACTGTACCCCTACGACTACTCTGATTCTCAAACTTTCATCCAAGTTCTTGGTCAAATGTTTTGCCCAGTTTCTGGATTAGGTAAGAGTGAGGCTGAGTTAAGTCTTGGCTAGGTCACCCCACTATCTGGTTACACCAGCACAGGGATGGTATTTTCCTGATTAGACTTTCTGGCCCTACACCATAGCTGCAGGCCGGTCAGGCCCAGCATTAGTGCCCTGCTAGAGGCTGCACCGCTGCTGGAGAAGGCAGCAGACATGCTCAGTTCCTCACACTTACACTTAAATCTCCTTTCTACCAGCTTTTCTGCACACCTGATTCATCTTCTCTGTGGGTGGCAGAAAGCTGCTGGCACCAGAAAGTCAATTCTGTGCCACTTTTAGGAGTTCTCATCACCAAAATGGGCCTCAGGAGCCATCCCAAGGGCCCCTTCCACAACCACCATTAATGAGCTGTCAGGTGCCCGTTCGTTTTCACAGGTGCATTCATACTCCTCAGGCTTGTCCAGGAAGGGAATTTCTTCAACATTTTCCTCCTCACGAAGTGGCAGATCTCAACCAGGAACCCCAGAGATACGAGGTACATGGCCAGGCCCCCGGCCTTGAGGAGCCAGCTGGGCTGAGGGGACGCCAGCATTGCGTACATGATCAATGCTCCCCCCACGATGCGTAGCACAAGGAAGAGGAGCACGAAGAAGAAATCCACCACCTCGCCCAGCAAGGTGTGGTAGCGGCCCATTTCCCTCAGAAACCAGCGGGCCTGCAGCAGGGGGTTGGTGATCTCGCTAACAAAAACAACTGCATTGACTTCCGTGGCAGACTTGCCGAGCCCCAGCACCATGATCATGCCACAGATGCTCAGCGTGTGGTGGAGCAGCATGAGGTCCCCCTCCGTCTGGAAATATAGGCACCAGCCCAGGTCAAAGATGAAGTAACCCAAGGTCAGGGCCAGAACATGGATCTGAAGAGGTGTGTTTGGTGAACCTGAAATGAAAGACGTGCATAAGCCTGGGGTCTTAAATAAGACAGATTTCTAAAATAAATAGCAAACAGGTGGCCAGCATGCCTCTTTCCTCCTTGCTTTCCCTGGTTATCCTACAGGACATGAACAGGGACACCTGGCTCTGCTCTCCCTTCAGACTTCAGCCCGCACAGAAAACCCAGGCAGTCATCCTATCCTGCCATGCTTGGCTTCTCCTTTTCTCTCCACCCTTTCAGAAAGCAGGGTGGGAGAGCCCGACCCCACCAGCAGAGCTATGTGAGATTTAACGATAGAAAAGAACAAACCCACAGTCAAGTGCCAGGAGTTATTATGCCCTTCAAGATGCAAACAGCATTTAGTCTGTTCTCCACATTGCCACACCTAGCAGTAATAGCACCATAAATTCAGCCTGAAAGTCCTCAGTAAGTACATGAAAAGAACAGCAGCAAGATTAAAAATAAGAAGTGCTAGGAGCTGGAGAACAAGCAGGGGAGTTGAACAAAGTCTTGTACAGAACCAGAGGAGTCGTGTCGCCAGCAGATGACAAGGATGTGTGTCAGGGTAAAACTCCAAACATACCTGCATGGGTTAGAGGCCAGGGGCCATCCAGGAGAGCCACGTAGCCTGAGAGGCAGGTGACAGCCACGCCGTGCAGCAAGGTGACCAAGCGACAGCTCCACTCATGGGAGCGGTGCCTGTGCCAGTGGCAGCAGGCGGCATACAGGGACAGCCAGGCCAGCAGGCTGCACGCCACCTCGAGAACGATGGACACCATCCTGCTGAAGGCAGAGAGAGCGAGTTGTGAGCACAGCAGCTCCGTCACCGAGGGGTGATCACCTGGCCCTGCTTACTCATGTGGAAAAAAACCAGGAAGGAAGGAAAAAAAAAGAAAAGGGGAAAAAAAAAAGCCACATGCAAACAACCAAAAAAGTCCCAGATACGCTTCGCACCCTTGCCATGAGCACAACACCCTGCAGAACAGAGCTGGACCCTCTTTAGCACCACTCTCCTGCACACCCTTCCTCCTTCCCACAGCCCTAACACCAATGGGAACAAATCCCCACAGCCCCAAAACATCCCACAGCTCCCTGCCCTGCTTGGGCACATCTGGAACCCCCCAGGGAAGGGACCCCCGAAGGAAGGGACCCCCCCAGGGGCTGGGGCAGCCCCCTCCGGCTCCTTACCGAGCTCAGGGCCACTGGGGACCGGCTGCGGGCTCCGGGAGCGCCCGGGGAGGCGGCGCTGGTGCTCCCCGAGAGGTTTTTATCCTCCCCCCGTCCCTCCCTGCTCCCCGCCCCCGGCCGGCACCTCCTGCCCCTCCGTTGCCCTGCCCCGGGGGGGAAAAAGGGTCGCGGGAGTAAATCGGGAGAGGTTTTTGGGGAGCCTCCTCACCGCAAGAGTCCCGACCTCCGGGCTGGCAGCTTTGCGTCCTAGTGGAGGGGAAGAAAGCACGGAACAAAGGTGCTCAGGCAAGCAGGGGAGGTGCTTTTGTCCTTTTTTTTTTTTTTTTTTTTAAAGTGTTCTGGAGTCCCTGATGAAGTTTCCTGCGTGGTTTGGTGGAGGTGGCTGCATGGAGGGAGGAGGAGGAGGAGGAGAGGGGAGAGGGAGAGGCAGGATTTGGGGAATGGGGTGAGTGATGGAGCAAATGATGGGGCAAACGATGGGGGAGCCGAGCACCAGGGCAGGGGGTTGTACCACGAAGGGCTGCACTTCCTCCAGGTCCTTGTGATGAGCTTGGAGTCAGTGTCACGCTGTTTCTGTTTATTCAAGTCACTTAAAAATCTGCCTGAAGGAAACTCAGTGCCCCCAGCAACCCCAAACCTTCCTACAGAGCTCCGCGCAGGGAGTGGAAGCAATCACGGAGAGCTTTAGGTCCTCACCTAAGGGTGCTTTTTTTTTGGGGGGGGGGGATCTCACTGCAGCTCTAGCCCTGCAGGCTCAAGCTACCCAGATCTATAAAAGTGAGCCTGAATTTAAGCCCAGCTTCTGATGGCATTGTGTAGGAGTGCTAGGGTTAGGCTCTCCACTAATGCTTCCAGGAAGGTAAGCCCCAAGGCTGTGAGCATCAGGGATGATGAGGGCACCTGAAGGGAGCATTTAGACACTTAGAAAATTCTCAAAGGCACCCTTCAGGTCACGGGGAAAACTGGGAAGGGCAAGGACTGAGCCCTGCTCTCCCTACTTGCTCTCACTCTTCTCACAGGTGGAAAGCAGAGGAGGAAAAGCAGAGGATGAGTAGAAATACCAACAGCAAATTATTGCATTTCCAACCCTTCCCAATCTTGCTTGAACTCAGGCACAGCCAAACAGCGTGGGTGTACCAGGAAGGACACAACCTCTGGATCCTGATATCCCACCCCCTGCCCCTTGCACACTCGCTCAGTGCTTTGGGGTCGCTGCAGCAGTCGCATGGAGGGGTCGCCCTCGATGTCAGCCACGAGTATTGGCTTTAGCATCTCCTACGTGCACCCTGACATCTGGCAGCAGAGAGGAAAATCAGGAGAACTTGTTCATGTATTCTGAGGATTCTGATTTAGCTGCCTATGGCTGAGAAGAGCAGGAGCCCAACCTTCCAAGAGCATGCCATGTCCTTCCCCTGGTTTTTGTGTGAAGGGGGATCTGGCTCATTTCTCCAGCAAGCTTACGAGTGACCAGACAACAGATAAAACATGAAGGGGGTTGCACCCCTCATTCTCAGAAGGAATAGAGATGGGGGACAGCTGACAACCGACTCTTCATTTACTCCAGGGGTCCCATCACTGATGCTTGAGTCCTAACGTGGAGGAGCTCTCCTCAAAGAGGCAGGCAGGGACGGGGTGCAGAGACTGCTGTCAGGCACCAGGGCTGCTTTGGCAGCAGGTCAGGCCCAGGAGATGGTGTCAGTTCTTGAAGCCACCGTCAGGCACCTCTGCTTGTGAGCAATTGTTCCCTGCGTTGTTTATTTATGGCTGTGGGAGGTGACTCTTGGTCTTGGAAAGCTGGAATTTCCTGCCCTGTGTATTTTTTAATCCCTTAGCTGCTCCTGAGAGATTGGAGCTATTCCTAGAAGACAGGGGAATGAAAACCTTTCCCTTCCAACCGTAGCTTTTTCTGAAAGAGATAAGCTGCTAGGTTTGTTTTCCCATTCAGGACTGGTTTATCAATAAACCTGAGAGCCACTTTATTGTGTCGGCAAACCTCCCAGCGGATATCAGCTCTCCTGTTGTGTTTGCACGACACCTGGCACAGCACGGCTTTGATCTCAGCTGCAACACTAATGTGCAGGTGCCGCTACCCAAGAACTTTGTAATTCCCCTCCCCAGCTTTCAGGATTCCTATTTGAAAATGTACTTAATGCTGCTTTTGTGGGAGGAAATTATGTAGGGGAATTTCTGAAAATGAAATATTAGTTAACAGCTGGATTTTGATATTGATGCATCTTGTCTATATTATTAAAATACGTACATGTACAGAAACTTATAAATACATGATTGCAAATGGTAATTTACCTTTTGCTACTCTCTTTTATTTTGTTTGTTTCTTTGTTTTTTGGCAAAGAGGCTCATAAACCTCTGGGACCCTTCACCGAGGGCTTAAGCAGATTCTCAGCTGCCTCTGAAATAAACAGCTCAGCTACCAGATACGCTGTTTAAAATTTGCAGCCTAGGGTTATGAAGGCAATCAAAATAGCCACTTCTGAGCTTTTAATTAATCGTCTACAAAATAACCGGACATTTTTCACAGTACAAATGAGCTTGAAACCTGAGTTTTTCCTCTTAGTATAATAAATGTCTCCTCTGACGGCAGCAGAATCCGCTGTGATGTTCGTCAGTGGTGACCTGTGCTGTTTTGCGCAAATTGAGGACTGGGAGGAGGAGAGGATTGTCATCGCCTAATGGGGATTAAGTGGTTTGTCCAAGGTCATGCAGGAAGTGAGTGAATAGGCTGTAAGCTAAGAAAGGTGGCCCGAAAGCACAGAATCAGGTTTAAATTCATTCTTCCCTTACGCTAGCCTTTACATATTTGTAATTGCCAGAATTTTTGTAAATATTAGAGTCATTGTCTTAGCAGCGTGATACACGTTTCCAGTATGCAGCACAGCTTTAGCTACAAGAATTCTGCACCTTAGCAGGGAGAGGCCACAGCAAGGCCCCTTCGTGCTACCTGAGCACCTTTGTCGGATGGAGCTGGCTTTGAATAAGGATCAGAAAATTATTGCTGACTCCGGGATCTTCTCAGGGGTCTGTTTAGTGCCAGAGCAGGTGACAGCCACAGCTCTTTTTCAGCCCTGCTCAGAACCCAACCCCTGCTCACTTTATTCATAACCTTGCAGCCACGTGCTAATCACTTCTCAGTCTGGCATGAACCCCCCAGCTTGATTGTTTCACCCTAATGTGCAGGATCCTCAGTGCAGAGGGAGGTGTTTCTATGCAAGGCCTCAGAGCAGAGGTGGCTTCTCCAGGGGGATCACCAGTTTCCCACTTACCCACGCCTCATGCTCGGGATGCGCAGCATCGCTCCTCCAAGCCCCAGCCACGTGGAAGTACTGCTGGAGGATCATTTCATGACTCATTTCTCTCCCTGACCCCCAACCAAAAATCCCGTGCTTAAGGCACAGAGTGCAAAAAAATATCTTTTTAATTCCTATCACGAATAATTCCTACTCCAGTTGCACAATACTGGTCTGGTAAGAGTCCCTGCTATAGGGGGCAATGGGAACCCTAAACAACATGCCACAAAAACCCACCCTCGTGGCTGTACCAAACCTGTCAAAGCCTTTAGAATAATTATACTCAAATAATTTGTTTCCCATCTCTAAATAAAGTTGGAAAGCAATAGAGAGCAAGGCTTGAAATCAACCCTCCAAGCATGTAAGAGCATTTAATTAATGGCAGAGAGAAGGGCCATAGCAATTAGTTAGATGAATACTTCCCACCTACATTTCTTGCTTTCCCACCAGAAAATGCTTTTTAAACCACAACAGATTTTGTTGCAAAAAATAGAAAGTTTCATTTAATTTTAATGTTTCCACTGAAAAAAAAAATGGTATGACGAAAATGTTTTAGTTAGAGGTAAATGGGTGATGTGGGGAATGCAGGAAACAGAAATACAGTTTCTCCGTTCTTTGTTGCTGTTGCTTTTGCTGATGTCAGAACATTTTTTAAAAGTGATTTAATATTTAAAAAGGAAATATTTCTCAAATTCTATTTTTCAAGAGATGTTACCTTAATCTTTTTCAATCCTTTCTCATTGTTATCAGTGTCTGCTTCTATACCATACCACACTTGAAGCGAAAAATGCAGTTCCACGTACAATGTGCTTGTAGGACTCAACACTTTGTATAAAGGTAAGTGAGAAACTCTTAAGGTCCACAGACCCACTACGGCAATAGTGTCATCACACAGCACTGAAGGAGTAGGATAAGAAACAACCAAATCAAATACATTTTTCCCCAAAAGAAGTAACAAAGGATAAATTTTACTATTAAAAAAAAAAAGCTCACATTTGCCTAAAAAAAAAAAAAAAAGTAATTGAAAAAAAAAAAAAAAAGACTACTACTCAAAAATGTCTATTTACAACCTCTGAACCAAATGCTCATTTACTCTAGTTTCACTGAATTAATTACCTGTACCCATTGACAACCTGACCAGGAATTTGTATTACTCAAGTCTGCTTTTACAAAATTAAATATCTGCCTCTTCTTAAGAGGCGAGTTGCAAGTAACCACGATTTCCCTGGCAATATGCTGTGACAGTTGAAGCTTCCTACGCTTTGGCGTCTGATGATATTAAGAAACCTTGCACACAAAATCCTCGAGATTCACACCTGAGCAGTACAACCTGTCCCCCAGGAACGAAGGGCACGCTGCAGGGATCAGGCCGGCTACATCACTTACAATTCAGGACAAACCACAACACACACACCCCTCTGCTCCGGAGAGGTTGCTTTCGTTTGGTACCAGATAAAGCCCAAAGGATGAATAAAAGAAAGAAGAAGGGGAGGCCAAGACTAATCCTCGTCCCATCAAACCAACACAAACCGCTGTTGTGTTCAGTTGGATCAGAAGTGCACCCAGTGTTTTACTACAGTGACATCCTCCAGCGAGGCCAGCTGTGAGCAATAACAAGACCTGGACACAGATTTTGCAAAAGGAGGCAATTTTTTTTAAAGGAAAAAAAAAAAAAGGCTCTAAAATACTTTAAAAAAAAAAGAAAGAAAAAAAAAGGAAAAGGAAACAAACTTTAGAAACAGGGCAGAAGGGCTCAAAGCAAAGCAGGTTTGGTGGTGGATAAAGCACAGTGCCATTGACCTTGGAAGTCTATTGAAAACCAAGGCTCACATCTAGATACGGGTCTCTGGTGAAATGAACTGGGTAACCTCGGCTCAGTTTGGGGGTTATGGTACGTGTGCGTGATAGTAACAGCATGGCAGACCCTCCTTGTGGGAAGCTCTGAAATGAGTGAGGGGGAAAAAAAAAGAGGGTCCTGACACAGAAATCCTTCCAGATCAGGGATTGCCAGGCAATCCAGTGTGAATGCAGAGATTTGCAAGCAGAGGGCAGTGTTTCATGCTAATAGTGCTAAGCAAGGGCTCGTTCTCGAAGTGAATGCATGGCAGAGTACTAAAATGTCACTGGTGGTGGTGAGAATCCTTGGGGAAGGTCAGCTGCAGTTTGAGTCCCTGGAGAGTTCTGCTGCTCTGGGCTCCCCTAAACAAGACCTTCATTTGGCAGCAGTTTGAAGGCACTGGAACGCCAGATGTTGCCCCAAGCATTGTTCCTAGAGAAGTTGGTCCATAGCTAGAAGTCAGAGCTCCTGTTACACACGGTGGAGGAGTCATCTCAGTGGAGGTAGGTAGGTTGATTCCATCGGTACCAAGATCTGTTTGCGACACAGGGAGTAAGAGCTACAATTGCATGCTGTTAACTTTTTCCCTTGAAATATCAATCATTCCTATTCTGTTTGTGACCCTTCTTAGACCTGGCAGCCAGCAAGCGATCCTTTTTCCCGTAGGAAGCTCGGAGCAAAGCCCCCGTCTTTCTAAGCAGCAGCTTGCACGGAGCTCAGGATTTCACACGCTGCTGGACTTCCTCTGGGTGAGAGCAGGTCTGATTCATGGCACGGGATGCTCCGTGACTCAGAAAGCCCAGAAGCTACACGTAATGCCCTCTGCTCTCGGTTGCCTTCCTGCTAACATAGCAGCCTTGGTGCCACGTGCAAGGAGCCGCGGAAACTACAAGCACAGAGAGAGCTCAGCAGCACAGGCTGCAGCAGGGGAGCAGTCAGTGAAATAACTAGAAGGGCTCTGAGCCCTTGTGTGCGGCTTAATCCTTTTGTAGCATCTAAAGGCAGGGCAGAGGAAAATTGCTGTTCTTGTTTTATCTGCCAGTGTGGGATCATTACGCTGCAGCAGAGCTCTCTGGTTGGCACTACCGGAGAGAAACCTGGCTGTGGAGAAGTTTATCAAAGCAGAAGCAGCAAAATAAGCCTTCCTCTGCTTCCTCCACACACAGAATTAATTCAAGACAGTCCTTAAGGACAGTGCTTCCATCCAATTCTTTTTTTTGTTTGTTTGTTTTGTTTTTCTTTTTAACCAGCACAGTATTTCAGGCAAACCGGATTTACTGTTTGTTTTTGGGCTGCAAGCTCTTCTCTAAAGCCCCCCTGCTTTCCTCTCAAGCCCCCCAGTACCCAAAGAGTGAGACATGCCCCCCTGCCTTACCCTGAAGAGTTGAAGCCGGATGAGTTCATTGCAGCTTTGGAGTTGCTCTGGGCTGTGCTGGGGCTGCTGGCATGGAGTGCACTGCCAGGGGACGAGGGCCTGCTGGAGTTCCCTGGGGAACACGATGATGTTACTGCACGGCAGAGAGAGCAGAGTGAGGCTGGGATCCCCTTCTCCTGCCAAGGAAAGCCCAAGCCCAAGCCCTTCCACTGTCCTGTTCGTCCTGCACCCTGCTCTGTCTGGTTTCTGTCGGAGCAAACCACACCTCTGCCACTGCTCCTCTGAAGAAATGCAGTTACCTGCCCCCCCAGCACCCTCTTGGTTGGCTTCCAGGTGCGTGCCTGGCTCCCAAACCTCACCACCCCAGTCACTTTTGGCTAGGATTATCCTGGGAGTGTTACAATGCCCAAGGATGCTTTCCTTGTCTTTGTCCCAGACAAGAAAAAACTCAGCTCTTCTCATCCCCCATCCACCCACTACATGAAGCTAATTTCCCTGCCCCAAACCAAAGGTCTATTAAAGAGGGGCCTGCAGAGGTGGCCTGGAAGCCAAGCAGCAAGAGAGCAAGAGCAGAGGAAGGAGGGAAGGAACAGGGGGGAGACAGTTTGTCACGGCTTACCTGTCCCAGGCATGGTGCTGTGCACCGGGTTGACAGAGAGGGGCCCCAAGGACCCTGAGGTAGAGACCTGGGGAGGAACAGAAGCAGACAGTCAGCAGCTGGCACTCCGAGGATGCAGACCACAACACGCCACTCCTTCGTGTTCCCTTTGGAGTGTGCTGGC